TAAAACACTACGGCAATGATTTCGAGTTGGCGTTGATCATGAAGCAATTAGATCTTGGATTTTGCTGCATTTGTTATGGTTTGGCAGGGTATGCTACATCATGGATAGCATGTTGCGGACGAGGACCTTATAGTGGAATTGGTCTATGCACAATGTTTTCCAACTTGTGCCCAAACAGAGAGATTTATGCATTCTGGAATGCGTTCCATCCCTCAGAGAAGGCAAACAAGTTGATTGTGCAACAAATCATGACCAGCCCTAGCAAATAAATGCACCCAATGAACCTCAGCACCATTATAGTTTTAGATTCCATGTCCTGATAGACTATTTTCCTTGACAACTTTCCACTGCTCTAATGCCAATGAATTTTATTTAGTTTGTATATCACTTTCTATTTGGTCTTGAAATTTCAATCAAATTTTACCTGTAATTCTGAAGAGTAAGAAATGCCAGACAGATTTTTCATAAAACATGTCACTGAAATTTTGGAGGCCAGAGCAGGAAAGCTAATGTACATTATTAGAACAAGAGCCATCCCCAAAATTAAGGAGAACATTAATCAGAGAATTACTTGACATTTATGTACTTGAAACACTTTGGTTCCTTTCCTTACAGACAAAGTTGTCAAGGTTATGTTTGATCAAAAATGATCCTGAGAAGATCTTTTTGGTACTCAAAACAGTTAAACTATGTTTCCTTTTGTGTTACAATCATTAAAGAAAGCTTCATTGTAAGAAAGAATACGACTTGTTTCAAGATTAAACCCTCACGAGTCAACCAAATTCTTTCATCCAGAATTTCTGCCATTTGTGTATCTGTAATTTACCAATAGCTAAAACGATGACCTTTCAATGGTATGCTTAGTAAACCAATGCAATGCCTAATTTCTACCATTGATCTACACAAAAAGTCTGAAGTATCATATAAATTCATATCTTCCCTAGCCCACAGTGACTGAGAACCAGTTTCCAGGACAGACAGATCATTTGCATGAAAAATGCAAAAGTAGCAATAAATTTCCTGATAAAAAGGTGCAATTCCATATCCACATCTCTTGACGGTGATTGAAAAGGAATAACAAAAGTTGGTATACGGATACAACTACAAAAACAGCTAGCTTTTTTGCTTTGCAGCTTCTCTTTAATTCAACGGTGGCTGAAATCCCAGCTCTATAAAGCACCCCCACTATTTTCCTATGCCCACAGAAGTCCTCCTTTGGTTTCTTGTGATAGTGTTAATGGCTTCTTCATCAATATCTTCTGATTTTTGGATGGTTTTGGTTTTCCTATTGGTCTTGGTGAGCATTGCTTCCTTAGCTGAGGCTCGAGCATTCTTTATTTTTGGTGATTCACTTGTCGATAGTGGCAACAACAACTTCCTTGCAACAACTGCCCGTGCAGATTCACCCCCTTATGGAATTGATTATCCAACTGGAAGACCCACCGGGCGTTTCTCTAATGGCCTTAACATCCCAGACCTGATTGGTTAAGTTTCTAATAATAGTTACAGTCATGCTGTTTTCCTTAATTTTTTTTTTTTATTGTTTTGATCTTGTCTACAGACAATATAAATGTATTCAAGTCAATTGCATGCTTGCCAGGTGAGCAAATTGGCTTATCAGAATCCCCATTGCCATATTTGAGCCCAGAGTTTAATAGGAAAAGGCTGCTTGTTGGTGCCAACTTTGCTTCAGCTGGGGTTGGAATCCTTAATGACACTGGAGTTCAATTTGTAAGTTTAGCAGCTAATCAACCATACTTCATTGGCCAAAAAAAAAATCTTCTTTCCTGGATGGAAGTTCATTTAAAAGCAGAAGCTTATGCCATACTAACTTTAAAACTAGTTGAACCCAAGGCATAGCTTTAATGATTCATGCATGTTTAGGGTTCAAATCGTAATACTTGAAACCCTTTCTCCTATCCTTAAGCTGTGGCCTCGTATGTACCAAAAAAAAAAAAAACTAGTTATTGATGCTTGCTTGAATATATAGCTACATTGGAACAAGGAATGCTGATACCAATAAGGTAATAACCAAAAATGTTACAATTATTACAGGTAAATATACTAAGAATGTATAGACAGCTGGAGTTGTTTCAAGAATACAAGCGAAGACTGTCGTGTCTCGTTGGATCAAGGCAAGCTAATCAACTTGTAAACCAAGCACTCGTCCTCATCACTGTTGGTGGCAATGATTTTGTCAACAACTACTACTTGGTGCCCTACTCTGCAAGATCTCGCCAATACAAATTGCCTGATTATGTCAAGTTTCTCATTTCAGAATATCGAAGACTCTTGATGGTAATCTCTTTTTTTTTTTTTTTTTTTCCTTTGACAAATTTTCTTGCCTTGATCTGTCTTCTACCATGCACTGGCAGTCACAAGAAAATTGGCAACATTTTAAAGATAGTGGACATTGCTATTAGTTTGTAAACATATGAAAGAGGAACAAAATTTAGGCTGCACCAATCACATGTTTCATGTTTGGCTTTTCAAGCAAGCAAACAACATTCAGTTTTTGTAGGCCTTTTTGGTTCTTAACTTGTTTACTTACAAACTCTCTTCATTGCGTGTTTATAAACCACATTTTCTTCATCATAATCATTATTGCAGAGGCTGTACAAGCTGGGAGCACGCAGGGTTTTAGTGACAGGCACTGGACCGTTAGGTTGTGTTCCAGCAGAACTGGCTATGCGGGGCAGGAATGGCGAATGCTCAGAAGAACTGCAACAGGCTGCATCCTTATATAATCCACAACTTGTTCAGATGTTAAATGGACTCAACAGTAAGATTGGAAAAGATGTGTTCATTAGTGCAAATACTCAAAGAATGCACAATGATTTCGTTAGTGACCCTCGAGCCTTCGGTACTTTCCTAGTCCAAAATCTCAACACTAAATTATTTCTGTAACAAGGAGAACTGAGAAAAGTTGTATCCTTATATTATAGCGTGTACTTTCTAACTAGAATCTTTGTCATGGTTGAAACAGGATTTACAACATCACAGGTAGCCTGTTGTGGGCAAGGCCCTTACAATGGAATTGGTCTATGCACTCAATTGTCAAATTTGTGTCCTGACAGAGCTCTCTATTCCTTTTGGGATCCATTCCATCCATCAGAGAAGGCTAACAGATTGATTGTGGAACAAATAATGACTGGCTCTAATGAGTACATGCACCCCATGAATCTAAGCACTATCATGGCCTTGGATTCTAGGATCTGACATGTTCTTTTTTTTTTTCTCTCCTTTTTCATCTTCTGTGTGTTCTGCAATAATCTGTTTCTTCAACTGTCATTAATGTTATTTTCAACTTGTTTGCTTTTGTCTTGAATGTAATGGAATTCAATGGATTGTGATGTTGGAGTTGGTACGCATTTGCAATGCATTGGTTATAGGCATTAATGCCTCTAATCTTTGTCATAATTCTTATATAAATTAATCAAGTTAGAGACATAAGTTCTACTTTTTACTTGGTTTAATGGGAAAAAGCCTTCTTTCACTGTAACCCTTTTTCATCTAGCAATTTTAAATGCAACACAAAAATTATACAAAAAAAATACAAAAATGACAATTTCAAATTTTAACAAAAACTGTATTTTTGTTTGGAAAAAACCAAAAAAAAAAATATATTTTTTTGTATATCACACTATAATTTTTTGTCCTATATATTTTAACACAAAAAAACAAAATAATACAAACATACAAATTACCGTATTAAGAGACCGATAATACAAGAGTTTGTTATTGAAATTGGGCTTGTTAGAGTTTATTAATAAAATTGGGTTCTTAACTGGCTAGATGCCAGATTATTCGGTTCAATATGCAAGTTATTTGGGCCATTTTAAAGGCAAACTTGGGCACAAATGCTCAAGTCTAAGCCTATTTGGACTGGGTTAGCTGTCAAGACCCAATCTCAAATAGGCATATCTCAAGCTTTCTAATTTGGCCCAGCCCGTGCGAGAAAAATGAAATGCAGCTTCATCCATCTACGTAGGACCCTCAATGTTTGATCATTTCATTGATTAATATGATATTTTAATTTTATCTTCTTTTATGTTAAAATCTTGAAACTCTTATCAATTTTGATAACTACTAAGTCATGTTTTAAGAAAAAAAGAAAAAAAAAATTTTGGATATCCGAATTGTTGTCAATATAAGATATACTTTACCTATACTTTAAGCTGATCCGTTTCATGCATGTTAATTGAACTAAACTATTGTATTTAAAAAATTGAATGTTTTAGGTGTCAATGTCCCAAAATGCATTTGTGAATGCACGTACATATATATATATAAATACATACACACACACACATATATATATGATTGTAAAATCTAATAAAAAAAATAAATGCAATACAAAGCACGTGTTCGATCTCTAATTTCTAAAATGGTGGGCTTGTGTGATCAAAAACCCGCGGTTTTTATAGAGAAAACTCTTGACTAAGAGGATTCAATTTATATTTAGATTGTATTTATGAAAAAATATCTTATATTCTTAATTGCAGATCTGACAAAGATGATATTCATAATAATTTATTAAAATTTTGAAAAAAGTTTTAAAATTTTCATTTCTAAAAGTAATTTTTGAAAGGAAAGAAGAATCCAAGCAACTAGATTACATCTTAAATACTTCGATCTTTTTCCTTTCAACCATTTTAAACAAAATACCACTGGTTTAAGGCTAAGTGACAAACTACAAATCTAGTTGCAAACCCTAAACTCTTCATGCATATCATGTGTCTTAAATGCAATATGAAAAGGTATCACTTTCCATTCCCTATATAAATCTAGGTAGTTAGAGATACAAGTTTGCCATTGAAGAATTCGTTTCTTAAAATTAGCATACAAGCAAGCAAGAAACTAGCATTGAGGTTGTCAAATTAAGCTATATATCTTTCTTTTATGAGATTTACTTGTTATTGCTTGTAGTTGAGTGTATTTTTTTTATGACTTCTTATGGCTAACATTTTCAATGTTTCAAAGAAGCTGCAGCTTGAAAAATGGTGCTAGGAAAAGGGGCATCGAGTTCATTGAGCATGAAAATGGCTGATGGAGCTGAAGACATGGTTAATAACAACAACTTCACTGTACTAGTTGTTGATGATGATCCTCTCATCCGAAAACTCCATGATATGCACCTCAAGAATTTTGGACTGAGGGCTCAAGTGGTTGAAAATGGAAAAAAGGCTGTTGATCTGTGCCATGTTGGAGCCAATTTCAATCTCATTCTGATGGACAGGGAAATGCCGGTGATGAATGGTGCCGAGGTATCTATAAATATATAATTTTCAAAAGTCATTTGGCTTACAAGCTAACAAAAGTTCCATTGCCTATATATTATTTTTTTTGTGTTACAGGCAACCAAGGAGTTGCGAGCTATGGGGGTGAATAGCTTGATCGTTGGTGTAACTTCGTGTGGCTCACCAAATGAGAAGCAAGCTTTCATGGAGGCAGGGTTGGATTATTGCTTTGAAAAGCCCTTGACTCCTGATAAGATCACTTTCCTTCTCCAAGAGCTCAACAAGAACAACTAATCATCTGTTTGGTTGAAGATATTTGACCATTGATCGATGTTACTCCTTCAGCTTATCTTTTGTTTTAAGTAAAAATATAAAATAAAAACTTCCATAGCTACAAATAAAATGCATACCTCTTGCTTTATATAAGCATATATGTGTAGGTTTGCTTTGGCCTTTGGTTTCTATATGTAGTATTTTCCTTTTCCTGTATTAAATTAATGGAAAGTAATGGATAATGCTTTTATTTTAGTAATTAATTTGGATATTGTCTCAAATTATTCCAAATGTTAACTTGAATTTTTTTTTTAGAGTTCATCTTTTTAATTGATATGATTGCTTGAAATTTGAATTTAATAATAATTAATGTGTATTAGAGGAAATTTTATGATTTTTTTTACATTTGAAGAGTCAAAATTTAAATTTTAATTATGAAAATTAAAAATATAACATTTTATCAATAAATCATATAATTTAAATGAGATTCCATAATTTTTATATGTTATTTTTAATCATATAATATAAGAATAAATTAAAAGAAACAATAACCAAAAACTCCATTCTATCTCTTGGGGTCATAATATGTTTGGATAAATTTTATAATTCAAGTCATAATATATTTATTTTTCTAAATAAAAAAACATTACCCTCCTTAATGTCAATTTCTTATGAGAGATTATTATAAATACTTTACTTTCAAAAGGACCAAAAAAAAAAAGAATTTATGAAAAAAAGTTCAAAATCACGTGCTCTCTTCACAAGTCACGTGCCCCTTTCCCTTCAAGACTTCAACGTTCAAATCGAAGATCCGCTTTTATTTCCTTGAACCCTCTCTCTCGTACTCTCTTATCCATTCCCTCCTAAAAGAAATGTCCCTCCTTTTCTCGCACACTCTCCTCCCTTCAGCTCTTCCTCTCTCCCGCCACCGAAACGCCGTCGTTTACTATGCCGCCGCCTCCACCACAAAGAGAAAGCCATCACCCAGAAGGAAAAAGCGCCAATCCCAAGAAAGAAAAGACGAAGAAAATGCTACTCTCTCTTCCCCAAACGCTGTCATGTCGGCCCTCGAGAAATCGCTCCGCCTCACCTTTATGGAAGAGCTTATGCTAAAAGCCAGGTCCCGAGACACCTCCGGCGTCTCCGATGTCATTTACGACATGATCGCTGCTGGCCTCACTCCGGGCCCCAGGTCGTTTCATGGGCTTGTTGTTGCTCATGTACTAAATGGTGATGTTGAAGGCGCGGTATGTTCTAATTTTGCAATAAATTGGTCTTTTTTATTTTTGGAAATGAATGAATTTGGCTTCTTTGTATTAAAAACTTAAATGGTTTTTCTCTTTCGATACAAATGAATGAGTTTGGATTCTTTGGATGAAAAGAATTTGTCTTTTTAGTGGAAAATGTATAAAATTATCTTCCCTTGATTAAAAACTCAATTGTTTTATTCGAAATGAATGAATTTTGTTTACTTAGATTAAAAAACTCAAATGGGTTCTTGTTTTGTTTTGTATTATTTTGAATAAAACTTTGGGAATTTGAAATGTAGATGCAAGCATTGAGGAGGGAATTGAGTGTGGGTGTTCACCCTCTTTATGAAACGTTTGTTTCGATGATTCGTTTGTTTGGGTCTAAAGGCCTTGCAACCAAAGGCTTGGATGCCCTTGCAGCAATGGAAAAGTTAAACTACGATATTCGTCAAGCTTGGATTATTCTTGTTGGTACAATGCTTAATAGAACTTCTTGAGTTAAGTTTTTATGTGGATAGTCCATAATTTTTATACTAAGTGGTTGAAGTTTCGCCGTGCAGAGGAGCTTGTAAGGAATAGGTTTTTGGAAGATGCCAACTCTGTGTTTTTGGAGGGTGCCAAAAGTGGGTTGAGAGCTACAAATGAGCTGTATGATCTAATGATTGAGGAGGATTGTAAAGTCGGGGATCATTCTAATGCGTTAGAAATTGCCTATGAAATGGAGGCTGCTGGACGGATGGCAACAACTTTTCATTTCAACTGCCTCCTTAGTGTGCAAGTGAGTTTTCTGATTATGTGAATGGAATTTTGAACTACTTTGTTGACCCTTCAAATGGAGTTCGATATTTTGCGTTTGATTTGGTTTGCAGGTTGCATTAATGTTTTGAACTTTCTGGACTGTGTGTGTTTTGGTTGATGCATGCAACTTACAACATTTGTTTGTAGCCAACTGTTTTCGTAATGTGATGATGGTGTCTTCCTATAGTCAATTGTATCCTTCAAACAATAGGATTGTGATGACTCATTAGGAAAGGAAAGAGATAATATTATGGTGTCTGTGTGTGACAGCATCTTCAAGTACTTGATTGATTCTATTAATCTCTGTTTGTTAGAATCCTTCCCCCTTGGTTTGTTAGATAGTGCTGCTAATTTCATCTGTTTCCTTTGCTTAGGCCACTTGTGGGATTCCCGAAATAGCTTTTGCGACATTTGAGAACATGGAATATGGAGAAGGTTTGCATTTATTTCACTTCTTTTTGTTGCTTTGTCAACATTTTATAACATGAAGTGCTCCAATTGTTCAAGGTTTCTTCAACATACATTTTTGTATTTGTTTAACAGAATATATGAAACCTGACACAGAGACATATAATTGGGTGATCCAAGCGTACACTAGAGCTGAATCTTATGATAGGTAATTTATCTAACACATCACTTGCCACACCACTTTTCTTTATTTGGGGCATTGTTTGTGCAGATATACTTGAAAACTTTCAATTTATTTGTTTGACAGTCATGCTGTCTGATATAAGCATGAAATGATCATTTTCATATGGAAACTTAAATAGCATAGAATTGGTTCTTGAGCCTATAATTATCAAGTTGTATTTTTTTAGTTCCATTTCTGTTGGGATACTAAGTGGTTTTTAAGTTGCACATAACTTATTGGTATATTCAACAGGAGTCCCCATTACATTGGATTTTGATATGAATTACAGGGTGCAAGATGTGGCCGAGTTACTTGGGATGATGGTTGAAGACCACAAGCGGTTGCAGCCTAATGTGAAAACCTATGCGTAAGCAAAAGTTTTTCTTTTTCTGTTGTTTGCAAATAATTGAAGCATATTTATTGGTGCATATGCTTTATTGTCTTTAGGATGGATATCCTGCTGGAAGAGAAATTCCTTCAACATAAGTTAGCTTTACAATATGGGGTTCACATCTAATTACCCTTCATATGAGTAGATAAATCAATATACCACTGGTCTATTATTCTCACAGGGAAACAACGGATTATTTGCCTTATTTGAATGTAATTCCGTGGTAGCATCTGAGATTCAAATATTCATCCACTTAGCTTGTTTTTTCTGGGAAACATTTCCCTAGGTGAAACCAGCTTTGATTTGTCTTCTCTATTAAATTTTGCTAATGCAATGCATACTTGAATGCTATGATCATACACTTTTTACTCTTGATCAATTGGTAACTTTCATAGTGTACTGCTTCGCTTTTTTTCCTACTATTTTTCTTTTTGTCCTTGATAGATGATGTCATGCCAATATGTCAGGCTGTTAGTGGAATGCTTTACCAAGTACTGTGTTATAAGGGAAGCTATTCGGCATTTTCGTGCACTGAAAAACTTTGAAGGGGGGACAAAAGTGTTGCACAGCGAAGGAAAGTTCGATGATCCACTTTCTTTGTATCTTCGAGCATTATGTCGAGAAGGTATCTATGTATTATTGTTCTATATGTCATTAAAGTTAATCTTTCTTGATTGAAGATTTAATATTTATAACCTTGTACTCATGCTTGGTTCAGGAAGAATTGTTGAACTGCTAGAAGCTTTGCAAGTTATGTCCAAAGATAACCAACCTATTCCACCAAGAGCTATGATTTTAAGCAGAAAATATCGTTCTCTAGTTAGCTCATGGATTGAACCTCTACAAGAAGAAGCTGAACTTGGTTATGAGATTGATTACATAGCTAGGTGTGCCTTTTAATCAACGGTCAAGTCTGCTTCAATAACTTCATAACTTATTTATAGTTCTCCAATAAAGCCTTATGTGCTTTACTGGAAGATTTTTTTCTGAAACTTAAACTTGAAATTTCTTTAATGCTTGACCCTCTTTATTTACAAATGGCTACAATACGAATAGAATCTGTCATTCACATGCTTGGTTTATATAGATAGTATAAATAAATTTAATTTTTTCTGTTATATTTATGTAATAAAATTTAAATCTCATTCTCAAATGCTACCTTCATTATACGTGAATCAGTCATATTTAGAGAATGATTTATTGAGCCATTTGTGCATCATTTCAACATTAATATGTCCTCTGTATTATTCACTTAAGATGTTGTCACATAACTTATTTTGCCCAAAACTTTTCTATTATGTTTTACTATTTACATTGTTAATAAATTGATTTTGATGATGCTATTCTGCATCTTATTTGTAGGAATATCGAAAATTGGCTGATGCATTGATGGTTTTAATTTGATTTCTAAAAAACTTATTATCTTTGGAAACCAGGTACATTGAAGAAGGTGGGCTTACTGGTGAGCGCAAGCGATGGGTGCCTCGAAGCGGAAAAACACCTCTAGATCCTGATGCTGCTGGATTTATATATTCAAACCCTATGGAAACCTCCTTCAAGCAAAGACGTCTGGAGGAGTGGAGGATATACAACCGGAAACTTTTGAAAACCTTGCAGAATGAAGGTCTTGCAGCTCTGGGGGATGCAACTGAATCTGATTATATGAGAGTCATGGAGAGGTTGAAGAAACTAATAAAAGGTCCTGACCAGAATGTTTTAAAACCCAAGGCTGCCAGTAAGATGATAGTATCTGAGCTAAAGGAAGAGCTTGAAGCACAAGGTCTACCGACTGATGGAACAAGAAATGTTCTTTACCAACGTGTACAAAAAGCAAGGAGAATTAACCGCTCACGTGGTCGGCCTCTTTGGGTTCCTCCCGTGGAAGAGGAAGAAGAAGAGGTTATAATTTACTAATATCTTTTTTTATTCACAAAATCATACCGTTTGCATATCAAATTCTTTATTCTAGCCTTTCAGTACATTTAAGTTTTTTTTTTTGTTGATTGTGTATCTCCTGTAGGTTGATGAGGAGTTAGATGAGCTAATTTCTCAGATTAAGTTGGAAGAAGGAAATACAGAGTTTTGGAAACGCCGTTTTCTTGGAGAAGGCTTGAAAGTTGATCAGGTGAAGCTTATAGATGAGGGTGAATCAGAAACTGCAGATGATGAGCTGGATGATGGCAATGCTGTAGAAGATGCTGGAAAGGATATTGAAGATGATGATGCTGATGAAGAGGAGGAAGTAGAAGTAGAAGTAGAAGCAGAAGTAGAACAAACTGAAAGCCAAGAAGTAGACAGGATCAAGTATAAGGAAATTGAAGCTAAGAAGCCTCTTCAGATGATTGGAGTCCAATTGTTGAAAGACTCTGACCAAACAACCACTAGATACAAAAAATCAAGAAGAAGGTCTTCTCGAGCACTTGTAGAGGTAAGAAAGATATTTTTGTTTTGATATCTCGTGGCCTATAGAAGTGCCCTAGATGTTGCAAAATGCTATAGATTTCAAAAAGTCCATCTTGTGCCTATTACATAAACTGATAGGCAGTTGACGGTCAAAATTACTTTTGTAAAAAGAATTCTTGGAGCATTGATACATCTCTTTTTGCATGTGGATACAGAATGATGATGATGAGGATTGGTTTCCTTTGGATATTTTTGAGGCATTTCAAGAGCTGAGAAATAGGAAGGTGTTTGATGTAGAAGACATGTACACAATAGCTGATGCTTGGGGTTGGACATGGGAGAGAGAACTTAAAAATAAACCTCCTCGAAGATGGTCACAGGAATGGGAAGTTGAGTTGGCAATTCAAGTAATGGAAAAGGCATGTTCTTATTTACTGCTTACTTATGTCTTCAATGGTAATATCTTGTATTTTCTTCTTCTAGTTTGTGCTTATTTCTCTTTTTATCTACATCTCTATCTATTCTATGAACCAAAATCCTTACTTTGATGCCCCCCATTTCATGGCAGCCTAATAATATATTTACTTCTCCATTGGTTAAGTTTTCCTGCTTTCTATATCAGGCAGCAATTGAAATTGCATTGATATGGTGCATTTTTTCCCCATGCTGGATAATTACGATTTCCCCAGGCGTTGGCATCTATGTTTGCTCAAATTAACTGAATGAAATTTCATAATTTTTTATTTTCAGGTCATAGAATTGGGTGGAACACCCACTGTTGGCGATTGTGCTATGATACTGCATGCTGCTATAAAGGCTCCTATGCCTTCAGCCTTCTTGAAGATCTTGCTGACAACACACAGTCTTGGTTACGTCTTTGGGAGGTATGCCATGTTCCTTAATCTGATAAATTAATGTGCCGGTTTACATATTAGCCTTCATTTTTTCATTTTCTGACGGTGGTGCTGTGGTTGTTAGACAACCATCGGAAATAAGCTGTTCAGTTCTTGAATTGACTTTCAAACTTGTTTATTTAAAGATCCTAAGGATGAAACTCGATTCAACCTTGAGCTGAGTCATTATTGTTCCTAGTAAAACACTTGCTGACATTATATTTTGTACATATTACTGGAATACAACTTCAACAATTTTGCCAATTTTTGGTTCCTGGATAGTACTACTAATTAAGCTCTGCTCAAATGGCTGACTCAGATCTCTGTCAGATTTTTCAAACCACTTTGATGTGACTGTATTACATGGTTTGTTTCATTTAGATTAGCTTTCCATCTAATTCTGTTTCTTCTATGCAGTCCCCTCTATGATGAAGTAATCTCATTATGCCTTGACCTTGGGGAACTAGACGCAGCCATTGCAATTGTTGCAGACCTGGAGGCTACTGGAATTGCGGTCCCTGACCATACCCTTGACAGAGTTATTTCTGCCAGACAGAAGGTCGACACTCCTGGTGGCGATGCATCATCATCATCATCAACAGCAACATCATCTTCACCACCATCATAGCAGCAGGTATATTATCCTATCTGCATGTTACATAGTTCTAACTAGCATCACAAATAAGCATTTTCTTAGTTGGCTTTGTGGCCAGCCACCATTTCCAGTGCTGCAAAACTCAGAGCGTAATCTAACTGTAAATTTTTTCAATTTTTTCTTCATAGTTGTATTTTTTTCCCACTGACTCTACTTGCCAATCCAAGCAAATATTTTTTGTCTGTAAATCTACATTGAAATCATGGTCTCAGCTAATTCTGAAGTCAACCAAGCTGTTATTGGTAAATTCTTTGTTTTTGCTTCAATTATAGTGGCAGCCCATTTTCATTAGTGGAAAAGAAATCTTGTTCATGCTTGACCTCAAAGCTAGCTAAGATCATACTAATTTGTTTCGAAAGTATTACTAACAAAAAGAGAGAGAAAAGCGGAGGAACGAAATGAAGAAAATATGAAGTCATTATATAAAAATAAACTGAGCCAAACAAATCCTAACAAATCATAACTACTTTGGTGTCTCACTTCTATGATAACATCAACTGAAATGTCCTTAATGGCCCTTTTAATGAGTGTGTTTTTTTTTTTGTAATTTTTTAAAATTTAATATTAAAATATTAATTTCAATGATTAGATTTTAATTCGGGACAGTCTCAAGTATTAAATAAAAGAAAAATATAAAAGAGGAAAATTTGAAGAAAATAAAAGGATCATTCTAGTGGTTAAAAAAATTAGCAACCATCTTATGAAATATGAAAAGTGCAACCATTGTTTTGTCGAATAACCTTACATTTATATTACATTAGTTTTATTCATTTTTTATTTTAAAACATTAATGATACAAATTATCAGTGCTTCCATGTCTGGACAAGAGTTTGTTCCATTTATTGATTGCTATTTATTCCAGCAGTTTAAGCACTGAGCTTCAACTTCTAGTTTAATGGCTTGGCCAAAATGTTTGAAGTGCGGAATGGTACGCCCACCCTCACAGAGTTGCATGAACTCGTAATTTTACACCTTTTTCACCCTGGAACGCATGATTTTGTATATCTTCCGCTATTACTGACATTTTCTGCTTCTTGAACTGTAGGGATATCTGGGACAGTGTGTTCATTTACAGCCAAATAATCATGATATGCTAGGTGATTCAGTTGCTTGGGGTGGTTGTACCATAATATACTTGCTTGGGCAACAGCTGCATTTTGAGCTATTTGATTTTTCATATCAAATCCTAAACGATGCAGAAAGTTGAAGCTGTAGAAATCACGCAAACACATAAAAATCCTTATTTTGGCCAGGTATAGAATTCTTCATTTGTTTCTGCAGGAATTTTTTATTTTTTTAAAACCAAATGTTTATCTGTCAATGTATATAGAAAATCACGTTCTTCATTTTCTCCCTCCTGCTTATGACTTGTTTTTCTTAAAATGAAGTTTGGTCTAAGGTTTGGGCTCCGACCAAGCTAAATATCTAGTTCAGAAAAGTCTACCACCTATCACTACCGTATGGTGGTGCAGTTTTGAGTTGCTTCATATATAATAAGTTTTGTATATCGAAAATAACAGGAAGTTTTTCTCTTGTATGTGTCTCAATTCTTCATATGTAATGTAAGTTGTTCCAAAAGTTGACATAAACTAGATTTTACTCCCAAAAGGTTGTGAAAGTTATAAAATTAAATTAAAAAATGCTTAGTAAATTTTATCCAGTATGTTAGTCGCATTCGTATTTGGTCTATTCTCACTCAGATTGGATCAAAAATATTGATATGTTGCAGTATCATATCCCTTAGAATTAGGGATTGTATCTCATCTCCCAAAATCATGAAATTTAAATTATTGTAATTCCTAGAGTTTAAGTATGTATCTTGAAACTAATTGTAAGGGGGACTCAGCTATAAATAAAGAGTCTCTCACCCTCATGTACACGAGAGACAGAGATCAGAACTAGTAAATAATAACATCCTTACTCTTACCTCAAACTTTCTGTTGTTCTTTTGTTAGCCTTTCTTTAGCACTTGCTGTGCATTTTCGTTTTGCAGCATATTAGGTGACCAGGCCTCGCAGTCTAGAGTATCTGTGCATCATTTCTTGTGTTAGGCTGATTTGGGACATGAATGAGACCATTTTCATGTCTTAAAGCTGTGCAAGTTTGGAACTTGAGTCTCAGTTCATGATCAACATAGTTGAAATGAAACCATAGCTCCTATGGCAAGTATGTCGAGAATGGCGAATGTGTCATCTAGTGTGATTATCAGTTCACTGAATGAAAAATGAAATGTGTTCATCTCAAACTACCAATTTTCATAAAATGTCAACAATATCATATTATTAACCAAACATTTGGTGCACTTGATCAAAGACGCCCACCTAGATTAAATTACATTGGAATGGAATTGTTGTCAAAAAGCATTTTAAAGGCTAGTATTGTAACTTTGGCCAATAGTTTTATCGATTTTAACAGATCTTACTCATAACAACAACAATAACAAATAGAAATTAGTTATTAACTTTACAAATATTATGTAATAAGAATAAAGCATAAGCATAATCGTGATTAGATTGATTATCTAGCTATTCCACACATTGGCTACAACAAGACACTTGAAGCTTTGAAGGATAGAAGTATTTTTCGGTCCTCTAAAAAAAAGAACAAACCATTGGTAGATAAAAGGTAACTTCTCTACAACAATATTATCCTCTGATGGGCTAACAACCAACTCATCAACATTTCTTCTAGTCCTAGTCATCGTCTCTTCTTAAAAGCAATTAGACGCCTCCAATCCTTTAGAAGGTTAGGGTCGATACATTACTACCCCAACCTCTAGCAACACCACCTCTTCTAGTTTGTGGCATATATGTTGTCACATAAAATAAAATATCAAACACTTAATTTAACAATTTAATAATTTTGTATAGAATACAATGGTTTAGGGTTTAGGAAATGGGGTTTATGGTTTATGGGTTGAGATATGGAATTAGGGTTTAAGATTTAAAGGTTTGAGATTTAGGGTGTTTTAGGAGTTTGAATTTATAAATCTGAAAATTTTTGAAAGTTTTCAGAAATGCAAATCCAAAAGCTTTTAAAAAGTTTTGGATTTGCATTGCTTAATGCTTTTAAATCTAGAAGCTTTCAAAAACTTTCAAAAATGTATATTAGGAACCTATAATCTCATGCATAATATTCAACCAAAATTTAACAAAATCAAAGATAACTTAACCAAAATCAAACAAAATGAAAGATAGATTACCTTTTATTCAAGCTTAGTGACTTAATTAACTCGGAAACTTAGTGATTTGATTGATTTTTAGGTTAGAGTTTGAAAGATTATGGTGAAATGTTGAAAAGGAAATGGTTTGAGAGTGCAAAGGCTGTGAGGGTGCCAGAGGAAGGGTGACAGGTGACAGGTATAATGAGTAAAAAATAGATTTTAACTTTTGAGTTTTTGGTATAATTAGTGGGAACATATCATTTACAATTATTTTTACTACAATCTTATAATTATTCAATCATAATAAAAAAATTATATTAGGGTCCATCACTTATAAGTATGGATTCTACATAAAATTTTAATAGATCAATCACAATTCTGAATTATGATTGATTAATTATATTTCAATGATTGTAGGTGATATGTTCTCATAATTAATAATGGTGTGTAAAGAGAAAAAAATGAGATGCAAATAAAAACTCTTTTTTTTTATTATTATTATAATTAGTGTTGGATTCTGGTTTTACCCTGTTTGTTAAATTAATTTTTAATAACTTTTTTAATTAATATTTTATTGAATTATAATTTAGAATAATTTCATATAAAGTTAGTATTGTTAAGTGCACAAAGCTTTGGTTAAATAATTGGCAAAAAAAAGTTATTATAAAATTAAATAAAAAATGTTAGATGTACATTTTAAAATTACAAAATTCCTAAAAAAAACAATTGTTAAACAAAAACTGTAATGAAATACTTAATTTGTAACTATAACTTATTATTGAGAAGTTTATTCATAATCAAGATAGATAACTGTTTTAAAAGTGTTATATGCTATCATAGCAAATAAATAGTAATCACTAATCATTAATTGATTATTAATGACAAATTTTTTATATTCCCTTGATAATGATTTGTTTCTAGTGTTCTAGTGTATGGTATAGGATTTATTTTCTTCAAGATCTAATAAAGTGATAAATAAATGTATGTCTGACAGACGCTTATAGAAATAACTTGAAATATGCTATAAAAATAATGTGATAAAAAATTATTAATAAAAATTTTGAATGTATATTTGGTTATAGTATAAAGTAATAATATATATAATAATAATATATATATACATAATTGTTAACCAAGATGAAATGACTATTGATGTTTACTCTGAAGCAATGAAAAGTAGGATTGTCAAAATAATCATAAATTCTCTTGAAATTAATAATAACTTCCAAATATAAAAATGTTAAACTTAAAATTCAAAGTTCCACACATACAAGGCTTAGAATACAGCAACCCAAGACAAAGAAAACTTAAAAAGCAGCGCATTATAACAAATATTTATCAAGCCATCAGCACATTCGGAATACTTTTTAGTTATACAAATATTATAATTATCTAATTAAAATAAAAAATTATATAAAAATCTATCACTTATAAATATAAACTATATAAATTTTAGATAATTATAATATACCATTATAGAATCGGGATCCATCCAATTTAGAATCATCCGATTTACCATAAAAAGAACTTTGTAGGCCCGTCAAAATCGTCAAACACTCCCAAAAAAAGAAAAAAAACAAGAATATTTGAATCTCTAGGCAGCCCAGAATCAAAGATCAAGGCGAGGGTACAGTCAACCTCTGCGCACGCAACGGCTGACTACCACCACGACCACTAACCAAGATTCTCGGGTACATTCCCCTTTAACACATACTAGTATAAAAAATTATTTCGAATTGACCCTGTTCTCTAAAATATAATTTGTGTCTACCGATATGGGTCAGAGTGAAATATAAAAAATATAATATAATTAATATATTATTTTTAAATTTTAACAAAAATAATGCATTAAATATAAAAATGAGATGCATCACTAACATCAATGTAAAACTATAAAATTTTATAATTTTTTTTAACCATTGTTTAGTCCAACAATCAAAAGTAAACTTTTCAATTAATATTAACAAATTTATCAAATCCATAGATTAATTATGAATCCGTATAAATTAAATTCATCGCCCACCAATTTTCCTATCTGACAGATTAAATTTTCGTCAGAATATGCTACACATATACCCACCTCTTACTTTGTTGTCGGTATATTATAACTGATGGTCTGATTTTTTGTCCTTTTTTTTAATTTAATGACAATTTTTATAAATTATAAAACAATTGTAAACCCAATCATACCCCATATTAATTATTTTCTAAATTATTTGGGAAAATAATTATAAAAAAAAAACCCAAACAATCAAGCTTCATGAGCTTAAAGAAGTCGAATCGTAGAGATTCATCTTGTTGATTTCAATTTAACAGTTGGTTGAAGAAATACACAAGTAGATGGTAGAAAAAAAAAAAAGGATAGCAAAACGTTTGGAGATAAAGATAAGGGTTGACCCTTCTCATCCATTAGATTTAATAAAAATCAAAGTTTATAAATAGGTAAATCTAACAATAAAAAATATGATTTAATAATATAATATAATATAATATAAAAATAAAATACGAATGTAATACGATTTAAAATTTTAATAATTATTATATATAAATTTAATAAAATAAAAAAAATATTTTATATTTTTATATTAATATAAATTATGATTAGTAATTTTCGTATAAAATATAATATAAATATAAAAATTTTAATATTTTATACTATATAAATATAAGAATGGTTAAATTTATAAATAAGTGCAAAACTTCTTTGTTTTGCATTGTTATAATTTGAACTCTCTATTTTAATATAAATATTTATTCATTATTTTAATAAAAATATGAGCTCTTAACATTCGATGACTGCATAGCTATTTAAAATAATGTACGTTGTAGTTTAGAATATAAAATTTATACTCAACTTTTATTGGCTAATTATAAATTACTGCACTTTCCCTCATAAAACTATATAACACTTCAGAACGAAATTAAAATGAGACCACAAATTGGGGTACAAAACAATACTAATGAATTAATTTTTTAATTTGAAAATTTAATTTAAAATTACAAAATATTAATGTTTTATTTAATAAATATAATTTAAATGAGCAGGTTCGGATATGATTTTTAAGGTGTCAACCAAATCCAATCAAAATTCATGAACATTTAGATTATAAGTTATTGACATTGTTTTGTATTAAAATATATTTATAAAATGAATAAATTAATTAATTATTAAATGAATATAAAAATAAAAATATATTTTAGAGAATTTTAGATAATTTGTAAATCAACTACTGATCCTTTATGTGTGCGGACAACCGTTTGTTTTAGGAAAGCATTTCAAAGAGAATTGTTTAATTTCTCAAAGATATTTTAGAGAAATTTGGATAATTTTTAAATCAACTACAGTCTACAGATTCCTTATGTGGGGACACTCGTTTCTTGTAGGACAAGCAATTTTTTTTTTCTAGAAGGCCAAATTATCTTAATAATTTAATCTCTGCACAATAATTATAATATTGGAAGTATTTATATTTTTTATTTGAAATTTTCATCTAATTTTTTACGGTGATAATTTATTTCATTAAATTGATGATATAACATGTTGATATGACATGTTGACCATTGCGTAGCGATGACATGGATTAAAATGATTTCACGCAGATAGATTTGACTCGACACAGCAGACGGGTCGTGGTAGGGGTTCGGTTGATTTTTTGAGCTAGGCTGCTAGGTATTTCATGCTTTGTGGTGGTATTGGCAATGGGTTGAGGTCTTTGGGTTCGGTTTTGAGATTAAGAATTTGGTGTTTAGGGATTTCATAAATTTTAGGGGTTTTAGGGATTGGAATGACATATGGAATTACGTCATCAAAAAAATCTAATCATCCAGCATTTTAATTTATATCATTAGGTTAATGATATATCATATGTAATTTAATAAAGTAAATTACTAACCGTATTATCACGATAATGATATATCATGTGTCACGTTATCGATTTAATAAAATAAATTACTAACCCTCACAAATTGGAAAATTTCAAACGAAAGGTGTAAGTATTTTTTATATTATAATTATTAATGGACTAAATTCGAAATTTATGAATGATACAAGGATTAATAGCATAATTCAACCTTTTCAACCATTCCTGAAATTATGCCGACTTGGAAACGGCTACAGACAAGAGAGATGGATGGGAGCATTTGAGGGAACAGGCGCCAACTTAGAAAAAACATCGTTCGACCTCGGAATTGTTCCAACTTCGCATCGTTCGATCATCGAACGCATGAAATTTTTTATTAAAATTAATTAAATTAAAATTAAAATTATAAATAAAAAATTTATTACATAAATTAAGTGTATAAATTTAAAAAAATTAATAAATTTTAATATAATTTTTAAATAAAAATTTTAACAAAATTTGTATTATTAAATAAATATTGATAAAATTTTATTTATAAAATATATTTATAATTATTTTTTATATATTATTGATCTTTTAACTAAATTAAATTTTCTATTAAAATTTTTATTCCTTTTAATAAAAAACTTCTTATCACTTAAAAAATTTCATATAAATTCTTCTCCACCACCAATAGGTTTTTTTTTTTTTTTTTAAGGAAATATATAGAGAGAATCAATTGAAAGCAGGTGAGGAGAAATAATGAGGA